AAGCCGCGTATATTCGGCACCACGCTGGCCGCGTATTGTCTGTCGTGTGAACGCATTCGAATTGCGAAACTGTAGCGCGATAATATAGACTGGTACCCGGTCGACAGTTCCACACGCTACACTAACGTCGTGCAGCGAACGGGTAGCAGTCTAGGACTCTAGGTTAGCGCGCTACAGTTTCGCAATTCGAATGCGTTCACACGACAAACAATACGCGGCCAGCGTGGTGCCGAATATACGCGGCTTAGTTGGCGCGGAATATGATTCCGGCCTAAGCAAGCCGGAGCAATAGCGGCTAAGCCGCGGCTAAGCAAGCCGCGTATATTTTAGCGTGTGAACGCTCAATTACGGAACTGAAATCCTCGTGTGAACGCAGCTAATATTGTACCGCAACTACATTTTGTGGACCGTAGACACCACAATATATAAATAATGGAATTTTTTTTATAAATTCTTTGAAAATATCAGTTACTTCGTCCTAATTTGCACTAAATGGACAAGTTATCTTTACTGTGTGTAGCCTTGATACACTTGGGTTAAGTACTGAAACAGGAATTCCAAACGTAACAATAGTTATATATATATTACAAACAATGTTATTATAGTAGAATACGTTTCTTGATCAGTGCTGTGACATTATTGAGTATTGATTATGAATTCCAATTTATGGATTTCCAGTAAAAAAATGCATTTGTGTTGATAATAAACGGTATACATAATTTAAGCTGCATAGCTAAGAAATAGTTTATAATTAGCATAAATATTGAATGTGTTTCATTTGTGTATATCATCGATGTACTTCAAATGTTAAAACTATATCAAATTAAAAAGACTAATTCATCGTGTTTCGTTTAGTTGAGATTCAGCATGTGATATGTATATGTTAATAACATATTAATTGTTCTCATTATCAATGTACTTAAAATGAATTAAAATAATAAAACTGCGAATGAAACTAAAGGCCGACTTCATAATGATAAAAATCGTTCACTGATTGGTTTGCGTCATCATTCTCACAGCGGTGTGTCTTTTTTCGGCGGCGCGTCTTTTTTCGTCGGCGACCCGGCCCTCGTCGTCTTCTGCGCCGCCTGTTGCGTCTCGAACATGGACCGTCGGCGGTCGGTCGTCTGCCGTATTTCGTATATCGAGCCATTTCGGTCCGGGAGCGAGTTTCTCGTGACGACCTCGAGATAGGAACCCTTTCTGCTGTCGACCGGAACCACTCCAAACTCCGGCTCGTCGTCGTCGTCGTCGTCGTTGTCGCCGCTGTCTGGCATGAAGATCGACGCGCGTCGGTTCGGCTCGGCGACGATGAGACTGAACCGTGGCCTAGTCTCCTGCTCGCCGGGGGAGGCGACTCCCTCGGAGTTCGCCTCGAAGGCAGGGTTGTCCTCCTCCATCGGTAGCGGATCGACGGTTAGCCGCGGTAGGGAGCCGGTCGATGGGAACCCGTTGACGGAGTCGGCGGCGTTGTCGCCTGTTGTCGGTAGGCCGCCGACGTTTATCTGTGCCGCAATGGCCGCCAGGAAGTGCATGGGACCGTTCTCCGAGTAGAGCGTGTTACGCAGCAGGCGCCGTATGCCCTTTCCCTTCGGACCCGTTCTTTTCTTCGTGAATGCGCCGCCACGTATCTGCAAGTGTACACGACATTCAATGTGTGCGTATCTGTATGTGTGCGTGCGCGTGCGCGTGCGCGTGTGTGTTCGTGCGTGCGTGCGTGCGTGTGCGTTTGTGTGTGTGTGTGTGCGTGTGAGTTTGTGCGTACGTGCGTGCGTGTGCGTGTATGTGTGTGTGTGTGTGTGTGTGTGTGTGTGTGTGT